CTCAGTTCACTTGTCAATGACTTCGTCGATTTGTGCCATGTTTTGGTTTGGCCGCCCATGACTTTCTTCCAACCTACTCCTACACTACAAAACAAATATCGTCGAGGCAGTCGATGGTTAGGCATTTGTAACACATAACCCAACCACCTCAACTGATGAAGTTTCACCACTTCATCTATTGGTATGACGTTCTTACCTAGCACCCGTTTCCTAATAACAGCGTTGCTCACTCGGGTGTCCCACGATATACGAGCAATGCTTCGAAGACACCTATGATCGAAAACCAGTAACCTACGAATATCTTCTACTCTCACTGGCCATGTTTCACAGCCATAAAGTAAGACGGTGTGAACTACTGTGCAGTACATTCGTCCTATAGTCAGCAAACGGATATCTCGCCTACGCCATAAGTGACGCAGGTTGGCAAAAGCCAGTTAAACTTTCTGTATCCGAGCTGAAATTTCGTCAGTCACCAGACCATCAGCACTGATGAGACTCCCCAGATAAGTGAAGCCGTCAACACCCTCGACAACTTCACTCCCTATCACTAGTTCAGGTGCCGATGAAGCCCAATCTTGAAGCAACATTTTGCATGTCCAGGGTGAGAACCGCACCCCGAACATGCTTGCATTGTTGCTTAGTGTAGTCAGAAGACTCAGAGTCTTCACTGGATAGAACTATGTCATCGGAGTATTGTAAGTTATTAAGCGACACTCCTGGTAGAAGCTCTACTCCTGAAAATTCAGACAAGGATAAGGTTATATCTAGTAGCATGTCTATGACAAAATTGAACAAGAATAGAGAAATTGGACATCCCTGACGGACACAGCTTGAAGTAAAGAATTCCAATTACAGTTCGCCATAAACTCTCACTCGAACAGTGATGATTGAGTAGCGAGCTTGTATAAGGTTAATGTACTTCTTTGGTACACCGTTCAGTGACAGACACTGCCACAGAACATTACGATCCACTGAGTCAAATGCCGCATTAAGCTCCAGGAAGACAACTATTGTAGGACACCTAAATGTGTGTCTCTGTTCTAGGACCTGTCATAGTGTGAAAATGTGGTCTATACAGCCATGTCTAGGTCTGAAACCAGACTGGATTTCTCGAGTCTGCTCTTTACTAGCATTCGTTAAGCGTTGAAATATTATTGACACTCTTTGGTGGTGAGCATCCATAAAAATCCTGCTATTTTCAAGACTCGAATCGAGGACATTCGGCTTTCTAGTATTTACAGGTTTCTAATGGTAGTCTAACAGTAATTTATGATTTCAATCATAGACAACAATTTTCATAGGTCTATAATGAAAAATCATACAGTTTGCTTACTAGTGACTGACTTCATGAGAAAATTCTTGAAGTTCTGATGAGAAGATATGATCATTGGAGTTCAATCCTGTTGGGTGTAGGAAGTTACCTACCAAAGACAAATAGGTGAGATTGCGCGAAATCTCTAGATCGATCAGAGTTAGACAATAATGCTGTTGGATACTGGCCTAGTGGTTCAGAAGTTAAGCATTCGAGCTCAAGACTGAAGGCATTGAGTTCGAAACCCGAGAGTACCAAGTGTCATGGATTCGCACTGATGATGAGTTCCATACGAGAACCAAACGGTCATCTGTAGTGCTCCCAGGTTTCAAAAAGAGGTCACATACTGATTGACTGATATTATAAATGAAACTCAACAGTCTCCATAGCTCTATAATTTCTAATCAGAAAAAATACAGGTTACATAATGTTTGGAGTTATTTGTTTACAATTCATTTCAATCATGAACTGATCTTCGTTAGACCATCTTTAGAAATCTAAAAGCATTTGACAACTGTTTCATCAAACTACGGCATTCATAAACATTTCGTGTCCATGATCCCATAGCCTAGAATCAAACCCGTAGCCTTCAGTCTTGCTAGCAAACGAATAGTCTCTAGATTACAAAGTTAGCCACCGATGATGTTAATTTTTAACTTGAATTATTCTACGATATTGTGTGACCATCATTTATTGTGATCAGTGAGTAACTGCTTCACACTTCGGACATGATTGTACTGAACTGGTTACAGCTTCTCAACAGAACTCCAAGAATGTTCTTACTAGTGAGTACATAATAGCTGTCAGTGTAGAGCTGTGACGATTAGGGAGTTTCATTGAAATCATGAACAGATCAATATCAGACCATCACTGGGATCCTGGAAGCAATAGATATCCTTTTTGTGCTATCATGTGACGGCTGGTACACACATTGATCAGTTCATGATTTCACTGAAATTCAACAACCTCCACAATACACTACTGATATAAATTGGCAGCATATGCGCTTTGAAATCAATAGAAATATCTACTGTTAAACTGAGAGAAAAATAAAATCAAAACAGTGTTCAAACTAAGTTACGAAACATAACGACTCTTAAAACAGACAGACTGTGTATATGTTGAGGACGTTAGATCCTAAATTTGGATTTTGTGGTTTCGCGTAAGGGCTGATCAGTTAGTTGACTTTGTGGTTACATTTCCTACCCGGAAAATCCTTGACTATTATTGGTTGATGTATTATTTAAGGTAAGTGCACTATTTTTGTGACTCTCACCAAGGACGTTACTATCATGTATAATAAACAAACTCGATTTGTGTGCTTGTCAACCTCAAAATTTTCTGGTTGCTTGTAGAATACACTTTCCACGTCTTGACAAGTTTTCTTCCTCTACTTAGTGAGGTCTTGGGACGCTCAAATCCGAATAGTCAATCGTGTCACTGGATCATTTGTCTTCACTCTAGTTTACCGGCTCGTGAACTCATTGGATAGTGTTTGGTTAAGCTAAGCATTATCTTACATTTAGAACTATTACTTACTCTCAATGAAAAATGATTGAATTTTGTGGACAATAGAATTTCAGGACATTTCAATTGTAGATAATGTTGGTTTGCGTTGTGAAGAACTGACTATCCTCGTTCATAACATCTGACCGACTTTTAATGATATGAACTTATTATTTTCATTCAGCTGTTAGGAATTATGGTAAGAACAAACTCTCTCTTCATTTGTCAACATAAATATTGAAATGGATAATAGAAGGATATCTATCCACCGGAGAGAACTACCGAAACGGATTGTTAGTGAATTGATTTCACCTCATTCAGTAGTTCACACTACTACTACTGTGGTGCGCGCTACTTATAAGTAGTATATGACGTGAGTGTAAACGTAATGTCTGGCAGTAGAAGATTGGGGAAGATCAAGAAAGGAAGAGTGGAAACAATCGAATTTGTATGAAACGCATGAATAAGTGAAATGTCAGACAATGGATTGATGATTGATTAAAGATTTTCAAATTAACGGTCACGATATGGTTTTCCTATTTTACTGAGTAACTCTGTAATTTTCGTTAAATACAATTCGGTTGCCCTCACCTGTGTTCTCCTTCACTACACTACTACTAATCATGGGAATCTGCATCTATCAACACAACTCAAACCGACAGTCACTCTCTTTTAATGAACTCATACCGTCTAGTTTTAGGTTATACCAATTATTCTTTCTTGTTATTTCCACTTCAATCAACATTATTTCTGTGTGTCAGGTGGAGATTGAACCTAAGTAACACGTCACTTCATGTCGCTTCACCCAGTGAATATTCAAAGTTGCATTAAACTATTTACTATATTTCAGTAGTATGTTATGTTTAACTTTAATAAAGTTTACTTTTATTGTTTCACTTAATTCAAACGATGCTTTTAAGATAACAGTAGATAAATATATGCGTATTATGTATAACCATGTGTTACTACTGTGATACGATGAAAAAATGAACACTGCCGCACAGTAAACATTGTTGTGTAGTCGAAACACAAGATTTATGTGCATACATTACAAATGATTTTCCAGAGACTCCTGTAGTGGTGACCTTGAAATATCATCGATACATTTTTGAAATGACAAATATTTCAGCAGTTTTCCTTCGAGTTACGATGAAGAATTCATTTGGTCATGATTCTTACTTATAGGTGTAAACATTTTTTGTCATAATGTCCCTGTTCTGAACGTCAAACACACTAACTTCTCAAGCTGACTATTTGAAACAGAATGTAAGGATGTGAGATTTAGTTCATTTGGCTTCTGAATAATATTCTACTTTCTTAGAAAAAGAAACCATTTCTTTATCAATGTTATGTATTCGTCTTTGAAGATATTTTCTGGTAGTCATCAAACATTCATCTTATTATGACTATTATGACTATTGGCTCACTACAACATTTCTATCAGTAACAAGCGATTTCGACTTAATTATTGATTGGCTCTACTTTGTTCTACATAAACTGCTCGATGTCGGGTATGGCTAGTTGGACTAATTATGAATATCTACAAGTCAATAAAATCAAGTTGGTTTCATTTATCAATAAAATACATGATCTAACACGTTCAATCTTGGAACAACTATCAACCAGTACAATTAGTCAGAATTTTCAGTGTAAATGTCAAGACAGTTCTACTGTGTAAGGGGCGGAAACTTGCAGAACTGCCAAAGCAATCATCCAGAAGATACAAGTGGTTATCGACTGTCGTTTGCGCAAGACAGTTAACATCCGTTGGCCACCATACCATCAGAAACAACTTACATTAGGAGAGAGTAAACTACATTACAATAAGAGAAAGAAATCAGGAAGAACCACTGGAACAGGATAGAACATACATTGATGAAAACATCCAATTAAGTCATAAGACAATCTCTCAACTGAAGTCCTCAAGGTCAAAGTAGGGGTGTGAAACCGTAAAAAAACTATATTACGCAAAGAATCCGAATTAGATAAGCAATGAATGAAAAGTGATTGGAAAGAACTCGAACGCATGACTCAGGATGTAGTGGTTTGGATAATGCTGGCGGGGACTAGACTCCATTTAGGATAAATTTACATTTGAAACAAACAAGAAATATGTCTGAATAAGTTTTTTGCTCTTTTTTTTAATTAAAACAAACTAATACAATTGGTATTTACTCGGATAGAATCAACAATTTTCTATATCGTCAAGGTCACATTTCAATGTTAAATGAAATCCTGGTGTATTTTTTTCATTGAATACAAATTGATTCAATGTACAATTTGATGATGTACCTGTAAATATGCAAGAAATATTAAAAAACATTTAAACAATGAAAGGGATTGGTTGATTATTGAGTATCATGAAATATAAAAAAGTAGTTGATTTTGTTGATATTGATTTAGTGATGAGAGAGGTTATTGTATAGTTGAGAAGAGTGGAGTGAGTCCGGTCTATTTGTTCAAATGCTCTCTCTCTCTTGATATGGTGTGTGTAGATGATTACGGGAAAGTTCTACTCATTAAATTCTTATAGTAGTGTGGTGTGAGCTACTTATAAGTAGTATATGACGTGAGTGTCAACGTAATGTCTGGCAACAGAAGATGGGGGAAAATCAAGAAAGGAAGAGTGGGAACACAATGGAATTTGTATGAAACGCATGAATAAGTGAAATGTCAGACAATGGATTGATGATTGATTGAAGATTTGCAAATTAACAACGGTTTACGATATGGTTTTTCTATTTTACTGAGTAACTCTGTAGTTTTCGTTAAATACAATTTGGGGAGGAAAAGCGAATGTTCGGTAGTGCTTAAATTGGGTTGATTTGTATTCAGGATTCATTTTGAGGCGTTGGAAAACCCTCATTCTAAACCAATTCTGTAAACATGCTTTACGATAGAGATTGAAAGAATGGCGTGTAAATGTATTGTTGGTTACTGACTACCATGAGACTGCTTCTCTTGACGTCGCTCTACTGCCTTATGGATTAATAATAACTTCCTGGAAACTGTTTATGAAGTATTTACTAATGAAATGTATAGCGCAGTATCGTAGATTGATTGAAACTGTACACTAAAACTGTTAGTTGTTTGGTTCATTAGTCTAAACGTTCGCTTGAGAGAATGAACGTCCTGGGTACGATCTCTCTGATAATGGTAGTGAGTGATCATCCTAGGTCAAAACAGAAGTCCAGTAACTTCTACGTTCATAAGTTGTCAAACTGAGGAGATCAGTTTGCTTTTAACATCAATCAATTGTGATATCCTTGGGGTGTGTCACTGTTTGACACTCAACATAGTTCGACTCCAGAGATGAAGGTAACTTAACAGAACTATATCAGTCTAGGTAGACCATTCCTACAGAATGTTATGTACAAGCAGTAATCAATCGAGTTCAATCACTTTAACATGATGCTTATATGATATTCGTAATTAACGAAAGTATAACGCCACAAAAGCTTGCTCATATAAGCAGGGATAAAGAAGTCTCGATTGTCTATGGCCAACTTGAGTTACTTATGGCGTAGGTGTTGCTGGTGTAACGATGCTCGTATATCCTGGGAAAGCCGAGTAAGGAATGTTATAGTTAGGAAATGAGGACTAGGTAGGGATGGCAGTTCAATCGATGAAGTAGTGAAACTCCATCAGGTGAGATGGTTGGGAAATGTACTACGTATGCCTAACCACCGAGTGCCTCTACGAGCTATGTTTTGTGGTACAGCAGTACGTTGGAAGAAAGCCAGGGGCGGCTAAGCCAAAATATGGCACAAATCCATGAAGTTACTGACCGACAAGTGGACTGAGTCATGTTGGTAGATGTAGGCTACCTGGTTGAGGGTCGCGAGATGAAAGTCACCGATGGTTAGAGACCTTGAATGACATGGCTCAGAATCGTTTCTAATGGCACAGGTGCATCCATTCTTTGTGTTCTCCCTAATTCTAACCTTCTGAATTCCTCATCGTCTCTATCTTTCTCTTTCTAAATTATTCTCACTGAATTATACTTCTCGAACCACATCTTCGCTCCCTAATCTTCTCCATTTCTGCTAATACTTCTACTATCCCTACCGCTATGGGATTCGACATGATAGTCACTTCTCTGTGCTAATGCGGTATGGAAACCTAAACGGATGTATTTATGTACAAAGTTATACATTGTAACTGACTGATTGAAGAGAAGTAGCATCCCACAAAAGCTTACTCATATATTGGAAAGTAAGATAATATTACCAGTTTTTTGTGTTCGGATTGTTTGCGAATGATTTAACTACTGTTATCAAGTCATAACGAAAAAAAGAAAATACATGGGGAAAAAAACTAACAATCACAAGTGAAAAACACTGATCTATTCATCTGCATCTTAGTATTATTTTGACATAAATCAATGTATACTATACCGCTGGTTGGTATGATTTGTTCAGTTGTTGTGAAAAACAACCGATTCAACTGTGTTGTGTGTGAGGCAGTGAGTGGATGACAGTCGCACAACATTGTGGGTTAGACAATAACGCTATTGGATGCCGACTTGGTGGTCAAAGGGGTTAAGTGCTCGCGTGAAAGTCTTGAATTCAACTGCCGATAATAGGAACTTAGATGTACACTATTGATGAGTTCTATATCAGGATGAAATGATCATCCAGGATTTCTAGTGGGGGTGGTCTAACATTGATCAATTGATGAATTCAATCAAACTAAACAATTTTCACAATTTTTTTAATGAAAAATGGTTTATATGAGTTTCCATTTCTTCATTGCTAATTTTAAAAAGTTTCATTCTCTCAGCTGAATGATTTAATCATGAAAACTACATTATTCTTTAGAGTAGCTTAACTAGTACAAACTTCAAGTAGATATCAGATATTTAAGTTTTTCTATAAATGACCGGTAATTTGTTGTGTCTCCCTGTGACATGATGCGTAATTCTATTATTGTCCTCGATTGGTCTAAGTATTGGTTTGATTTTAATGTGCTAACTGATCGGAATGTTAAACTTTTAAATACCCCCTAGATTTTCTTGGTCAAATTTGTGTAGACAGTTATGTAAACGTATGGAATTAAGAAAAGTTATATATATGTAGCTAGTTAAAGTTTATACAAAGATGGAAAAGAGGGCATCCACTATCCAACGTACTATTTCTTATAGTTGAAACAATTAATTTTGTACATGGTATTTGGTTTAAGATACTACAGATCCATTGGAGAGACTGTAGTGCCTCCACATAAAATTGAGTTCGGTCAGATTTAATTTGATTAAGCCTTTCGATCAACTTATGTAACCAAGCTAATTTGTATAGCAACAACCCATATGTACCATTGGTATTTTTTATTGTCTGGTTTGTATGAGCTTGTACTGTGGTGCGAGCTACTTATAAGTAGTATATGACGTGAGTGTCAACGTAATGTCTGGCAGAAGAGAAGATGGGGGAAGATCAAGAAAGGAAGATTTAGAACACAATGGAATTTGTAGGAAACGCATGAATAGTGACAATGGATTGATGTTTTCCAACAGGAACAACAGTCCAGTTCGATATGATGGACTGATATTTTGCAAATTAACGATTTACGATATGGTTTTCCAATTTTACCAAGTAACTCTGTAATTTTCGTTAAATACAATCCGGTTGCCCCACCTGAGTTCTCGTTCACTACAGTACGACTGAGCATTGCTTACGTCCACGGACTTACTCATCCTTAGTTGCTTTAATGTTAATCTCTTAAATACCTCGATGACTCAGATATCTTCCCATGTATATATATAAGGAACATTTTAATCTTATTAATTCATTCGCACATTTAATCGCTTGTGTGTCTGCCCCGTCTGCTTGCGATCTGCTATCCCTATTTGTGGTGTGCCAAAATAAACGTATTCAACGATTGTCTGGACAAGCTAATTACAAGCTAATTAAGACTAAGAACACGTAGAAATTGGCCACTACAAGACAAAGTCAGCAACAACCTACTGTGGGAGAGAACAAATCATATTCCATCTGAGGAAGAAATTAAGAAAGGGTACTGGAAGTGAATAGAATACACATTGAAGAAATCATTAAAGTGCAAAACAAGGCAAGCCCTTACTTGGAATCCTCAAGGCCAAAGGAAAAGAGAAAGACTAAAGAACACAATGGGCCGAGAATCGGGACCAGATATGACAAGAATGAACAACAACTGAGTAGAATTGGTAAGGTCGGTTTTGAACAGAGTATAGGTTTAAGAATGCTAGTCAGCGGTCTGGGTAACTGATAAGTTCGTCACTTAGTATGCTTGATGCTATTACGAGTTTACCTTAGTCGATAAACGCGAACGAGACTTTTACCAGCTTCCAGGAAGGCTACCCTGAATCCCAGAATCGAAATAGAAGACTTTGTAGGCGTAGAAGTATATTCTACAAGCACCCAGCAATCCCAGTACAATCAAGCATACAACTCTCGTTTATTTATACAACATAACAACGTCCTTGAGACAGTTAAGAAAATAGCATACTAAAATACACTGTAGCCAATCACAGCCATTGATTTTCCTGGTGGGAATTGAAATCTCAAGGTCATTTGATCAGCCCATGCTGGCGAAACGTGAAAACCAAAATACGGCATTATCAAGCGAATTTTGGGGATCTAACATCCCCAACACTCCTCCCCTTTTTAATAGCTTGTTCTCCTGGGGTCGAATTGCATCTTGACTATTGTTCGCCGCTGTCTGAGGGGATACCTTCGGGAACGAAGAACAGCTTGCTGCTGAGTTTCTTCTCGTGGCGGGGCTCTCGGTAGGTTGAAGGTATCAAGCAAGATGTCAAGGGGAAGGCTTTCTGCTCTTGATGGGCGATCTGGGGCTAGCCGTCTGCGTATCTAATTGCGATGACGTGACCATTTATCACCTCCTACCTCTACTTCGTACATAACTCGACCAACCCTTCTGACCACTCTCGCTTCTACCCAAGGACCATGGTTCGTTCTGTAGTCGCGGGCAAACACAGGGCATCCCACCTCGTAAGCGGATTGTCTTTGCTGCTTTGTCTCTACTGATGAGGGTGCATTGGTCGGATGCATCAGGCTGTGAATCGTTTTCAATCTTCTTCCCATCAGGATTTCAGCTGGGGACTTTTGCTCCGGTAACAATTCATTTGGTGTTGTCCGATAGACGTACAAGAAATTTTGTAACGTTTCGGCTGGCGTCCCCTCCCCTTTTGACTTGAGCAGTGCTCTTTTAAACGTATCCACAAACCTTTCCGCCTGCCCATTCGATTGCGGGTGGTATGGTGGCGAGCGTAAGTGTTTAATAGCTAGCCGTTGACAGAA